GTTTTGTTATTCCGCTGGATTGGTTTGTCTTGATTGGATATTGAGGATTAGCATTTATGGGAATGTTAATTCGGGTCCAATGTTGAACTGTTTAAAAAAACAAAAAAAGGGTTGGGTTGTTTCATTCATGGTAACTATTTATAAGAAAAATAACACAGTTATTGAGTGCATGTTTGATGAATTATCAATCTCAATTTATTTGATGAACATGACTAACAAGGTAACTCTCTAATTTTTTTAGTAGCATCATGCATCTTTACATAAATACGCATTAACCAATTTTATTATAAACGTTACTTAGTTTTTTTTCCCTTCTCTATGAAAGAATAGAAAACATTTTGACCCGGAGACTCTTGCAAGGTATGATTTTTTGGTAAATCTAAATTTCAGTTTTATTGGTTCATTTTATACTTTGCAGTTATGGGCTGGGAATAATTTTTTTTTAGATTTTGGACTGCTTCAAAAATCAATTCATTGAGCAAGGTGAGCTAGGTGGCGCGCAGTTTGCCATCAATGAAAATGCCAGCGGGATAATACGTGCGGAACGGGCAAAGAGATCTATTGTCAGCATGATGATGCTGGAGAAAGGTAAGTGAATATTTTTGTTATCTTTGGTTTCTAATAATTTTCTTGCAAGTACGTCATAAGAAATGATGTGAAATTGGATTACAACAAATTTAGACAATTAAAAGAGCAAGAGAAGCGCAGTAAGAAGAACAAGGTGGTTCCAAAAGATACAGTTGAACCGCTAGAATCTTGGCCTGAATCAGGAGAAGAGGAAGATGATGATAAGGTAATAGTTTCATAAACCGATGACTCATTAATGAAAATCGAGCAAATAAAATACATTATCACGGTGAATGATTCGTTTTAATACAGATGAGTAAGTGTTGGAACAGGAAGAAGAGGTCCGTGAAGGAGCATTAGCTTCGAGCACAAACAAGCCGCTTCCAGACGTTGGTTAGCGAAGAAGCAAACGATCACAGCGGAAAAGCACTGTATAGAACCAATAAACAAAACTTTAAGTAAGGAAGAAAAGAGAGATTTGATTGTACTTTAGTTTGATCTTGATATATATGCATATACCAAGTCCGAGAATAACCAAAATTAGGGCAAAAAAGGTCATTCTAAAGTTAAAAGCAGTAGTTGATCAAACTACGTAGTTTTTGTGCCTTTCCCATTACTTTCATAATTTAAAAATGGAGTATGCACACATAAAAGCACGACATGTTTTGTTGAATTAAACATCAGTGCTTAAAGCATACGAAATGTTTTTTTTTTTAAAATAGGAACATACTTACGTACCCAAGAAACTTCTGGATTTTCAGTCAAGATTGATGTTTTATACAAATGTAGATTCCTTTATGTTGACTTATATATAGTCAAGAGCATTTCGAAGACTTATCTGCAAGCATGGATACTCCTTCTTCCAAGCGTGACCGGATTGGGGCAATCAAATTTGTAGGTGAATCTTCTACCACAAAGAATATCATGCTAAATGAAAATCCATGAGACATGCAAGGGAATCTCTCAAGTTGCATCTAATAACTGGCCATCGTATATGTATCTAATCCGGCTGATTGTGTGGTTACTGGTTTGAAGTCTGGTGGAGATGACATGATCGGGGAACATAATTGTGTGGTTACTGGTTTGAGTTTGGTGGGAATGATGGAATATGAAACACGAAGTGAAAGTCACAAATGGAGGATTGGTCGAAGTGAAGATCAGAAACCATAACATTTAAGACATACTGTGATATTTGATTTTAATTTCTGTAGACCTCTTCATTCTTCTTAATTTTGTGACGTGTATGAAGAGTTTAATTTGTCTAAAGTTATGGAGAGAAAATGTTTACAGTTTTAAAGTTGTCAGATCTGATTATCAACTTCATTATGAGTGTTTTATCTAGCAATTTCGTTTAATTTGGTTATTTCGTTGAACCGAATAATTAGACCGCATAATATAATTCTCTTACAAATTATATAAACGACTATTAATTTGTAAATTCCTGAATTCGTTGATTTTTAATAAAGGTTTTTTAAAGATGCGGATTTTATTTGAAAATGTGGTATATTTATTACATAGCAAAGAGCAAAACATAAATCTTACGAAATTATCAAAATAATATATGTTTATAGTGATAAATATGAGTAATATAAATACCACAACTATTTATATCAACAGAACACGTTACCAAACAAATAAACCGCATTAGATAAATAAACTAAAAAAAAAATTGTACTATTTTAATATAACATAGACTACATAAAATGGAATGGAAAATGGAAAAAAAATAAACAAAAACAATTAACTTAAATAAAACTACTTGATTTTTGTCTATAAATTTTAATATAACATAGACTAC